CTGAAACATAAAGCCCATGGGACTATTTTTACATTTGTTATAAATTTCAGGATAGTTCGCACGAAGGGTTTTCATCTCTTCCGGGGTGATGTCATTGTTTCTCATAGGAGCAGTCCAGTTTGCGGTTCGCTGGAACACATGTAGAGACTTGGCCGTCTTCCCCACCTCTTGAATGGTCTGTATTCCCGTAGCGCCTGTACCGATCACGCCAACTCTCTTGTTCTCAAAGCTTATCGGTTCATGGGGCCAGCGCGACGTGTGGTATGCGAGGCCTTTGTAGTCGTGGACACCAGGAATGTTAGGTAATGTTAGCGTAGTCAACGGACCCAGGGCGTTGATGAGGAATCGTGATGTGTATGTGTGTCCATGCTGGTTGGTTAGTAACCACGAATGGGAATCTTCCCTGTACCGGGCAGACTTGACTTCTGCATGAAATTCGACATGTGGTCGAAGATCAAATTTGTCGGTAATGTAATTGATGTACCTCAAGGTGTCTGGTTGGGCAGAGAAATGTTCCTTCCAGTTCCACTCGTCGAGAAGTTCCTTGGAGAAGGTAAATGCATATGTATAGCTCTCGGAATCAAAGCGTGCGCCAGGGTAACGATTCCAGTACCACACACCACCAACGTCGGAACCTCTTTCAATGACTCGGGTACGAAGGCCCAGTCTTCTCATGCATATAAGGCTATAGAGGCCTGAAAGGCCCGCTCCGATGATAAGAACGTCGTAGTCAAGGTCCGTAGACATGACCGGGGAAGCCAAGTCGCTGGGATCGCCCATATTGGATTTGAGGCTCGAGACCACTGCCCACCTTCCGTTGTCAAGCCCTCGGTGAAAAGCAGGCAAAGGTGTTATGCGATTCTTTAGTCAGATAAACAGCTTACTCAAGAATGTTATAAGCTCGATCCTAACAGAGACCGTCCAGGGGGTGAAGTATATAACAGGGGGCTCATTGGAGAAGACCTCGGCCGTTGAAAGTCGTCATCTATGTGCAGTGCGGAGAATACCTACCTATGTCTCTCCCACAGAGTTTCGGGGGGGTAGATATACGGTAGGAATTATTCTACGGTAGAAATACCGCGGAATGATAACCACGGAAGACATCCGGCTCGCCTGCCTGAAAAGTAGCATAGCTCGTGAGTAATACAGAGTTATTCGTAGTTGTGTAGGACGAGTCGTTGGAGTCATCGCTTTCACAGCCCCAATTGTGGCAGACCACACTAAATGGTGGGTGCCTCAGAGACACACGTGCGAAGGGCGCAAGGCTGAAAGCGGTTGTTTGAAAGCCTTCTAGCGCGATACGTCCTGTGTATACTACATGGATGTTATGCGTAGACATCTGCATGTATGGGTACATTAATCGTGAAACAGCCTCTCTCCTGCCAGCTTTCGCACTAAAAATAGATAGTCAGCCCAGGCAAATTTGTGGGTACTTACCCAGTACATACATAGCGGGCCTCGAAATATCGCTCTTGGCACGTTATTCGATGTGATGAAACTCTTCCTTCTTGCACGGTGACATCTCGTATCTCCTTGTGATCTTCAACTCAAGCACTGGCGAACGGTGGCGTGGCCCACCACTCTATACGTCGTACATCCTGACAGTTCATCGCTTTACCGTGACCTCGTGTGGGCGACTAGTTCCCTCATAAAAGTCGTTTAAACTGATGGTCCTACACACCCTCTCAGGTCACAGGCTACAGGGCTTCTAACTGCAAGAATTCAGCGAAGGGCTCGAGACACATATAAACTTGGATCTCTCAGACGAAGACTTATACCGAGAAAGAACTGGCGATTAATAGAGGAGCGCCGCGCAACCAACAACTCCAAACAGCAGCGCGGGTGGCAGCCTTGACTCAAACTAAACAAGAGCCATTCCCGGCATGTCGTTGAAACCGAACACAGTTAATCTGGGCACTGCGCTAGGAATAACGTCTTCACCAACATCCGTCTCTTCCCAGAGACCAGCGACAAATTTCCACATCTCGCCCGGCAATGGCAATACGCTTACAATATAGGAAAGAAGGCAGGCCCATTCTTCGCTCTGCTGGCTAGTGGATGTTGGCTGTACACAGTCAAGCACCTGCCAGCAGAAGCCCAACTCCAGCAAAGACTGCTCTTGGCTGAAACTGGGCTCTCGATAGCTGTTATACCCTTCACATTTGGAGTGATGAAGCAGACAAATGACGAGTTGCATCGACGAGCAAATGCGGCAACAAGAGATGAAGAGGAGGGCTTTGAAGCAGAAGCTCCGAGGGGCATAGTTGAGAGTTATGAGACTCACGATCTTATTCAGTGGTGGGCGCAGCTCAATTTTATCTGAGTAGAAGAGACGGGTGAAATGCTGCCTTTATTGACAATACACCTCCCAGGAGAGCTTTGCTTCACGTTGGGGCTATTGCTTGTGCCGCGATAGCTTTGACTTTGTAAAGGCCAAATAGTAATACTGGAAAAGAGTCCTCCTCACTATGCAAATCTATTAAATCTCGTGATAAAATTGATTGCAGCGACTGAGAGGTGTGTGGTGCTTGGTAAAAAAATATTTGCTTGCAACGCCGCTTGGACATTGCCTCTCAATAACTTTGGAACTTGTGTATAGGGCTGGGGCTGTTTGGACTTAATTATGCTACATCGTGCTGATATGCAGAATCCCGAACTGGCTTGGAAAGAATGTCCGTGGTGATCAAACACGAAGCAAGACTGCCTATCACATAATAGCTGTACGGAGTAAGGTGTACCCCATAGTTTGTTGGATGATTGTGTTGGATGAGCTTGCTCGGCTGGTGCAGCTTGATAAACATGCCAAGACAAGGGTGTAACTCTTGGCAAGTTTTTCGCCCACAACTTTTCCACGGCCAAATGCAGGTTATGAACTACGAGAATTTGACGACGTTACCGAACGACAATCTCTCCGCCAATACACATCAATCCCCAAACCCACGATCGTGATTGCTGAGACGGAATTGTCTTGGTATCTGCAATCATGGGCGGCGTTACCGTTCGAGATGTCGATGTGAGTGCGATCTGAAATCCTCGCGGGGAAGGAAGTCCAATAGGCCGTTGCGGAAAAGAGGAGGCATCTCACATATGGAGTTGGGGCTTCTGGACATGGAGTTCAGGACCGAAAGCATAAACTGACGGTGCGGATCATGCAGGCACAAAAATTCATCGAGGCATATGCGGCATTTCTGAAGCGACAAGGAAAACTCCGAGTGCCAGGTACGAGTCGGCTCTTGCTTTTTACCAGTCCTGAATTGGTAGCGTGGGAAAAGCGGCATTTTGCTCTAGGAGTACTCCGTGATAATGATACTGATATTGTACGTATTGCAGGTTGGGTTGATACGGTCAAGACCTCACACTCAAACGAACTCCCTCCTCAATCCGCCGACTGGTTCTACGTGAGAGCTGCCTCAGTTGCCCGACATGTCTACCTACGAAAGTCTGTTGGTGTTGGCCGTCTCCGAAAAGTCCACGGCAGCACCAAGAATCGCGGTTCCAGACCCTCACACCACGTCAACGCATCCGGCGCAGTTGATCGCAAAGTCATGCAGGCTCTTGAGGAACTAGGCATCTTGGAGAAGGTTGACGATGAAGAAGAGGGCGGAAGCGGAAAGGGCGGACGAAGAATAACTCAGGCCGGTGCACGAGATCTGGACCGTATTGCGCAGACTGCTGTGGAGGGTGAGGAGGAGGAAGAGGATTAAAAGTTTGGTGACAGCGTTGGGAACGCACTAGCAGACTCACAAGCCGCACTTTTCTCGCGAAGATCGCGGTCTCCTCACTGAGAGGTAGTCTTACAACCAGACCAATGCCGGTGTCCGGGGAGCTGATAAATCAGCGATCAGACTGACTGGTTGCCGACCTGGCCTGCCCAGTTGTTAAATTTCTACGGCATGGTTCAGGACGGATCATATGGGCTCAATGAATTCCTTTCAAAGTTGAATCGACTTTCTTCAGGTCCGCTGTTCATGGTTGCTTGTATCCGCACGGGTGTCTGATGGGACAGAACGCCACATGTGCAGGGTCCTGGTGTAGTTGCACGCCGCGAGGCTGGTGACAGTACCACTTACATCACGGCACGTCGTCCCAATCCTCGCCTATTACCCTATTTACGAAGTGTGGCTAGGAAGTACCGTAGGTATGGCCATCAAGGCTGAAAACACTGGATCGGACAATAGTTGTTCCGCAAAACAAACTTGGTTGAGTCAGCCTTGCAGGCAGACTGGCCGACACTGGCACCGAGACTGGCACAGCCCTGGCTTGGCGGGGCCAAAATCCGCCTTCTAGAACCTGAGATTGAAAGCTTCATTCTACCCAATCTACTGTCATTCCCCAAACACGCCTGCCGCCTCGCCGTGTTGCTCAGCCCAAAGCTCGCCGTCCAAATGTGAGGCCAATCATCTCGTAATACTGAAACAGATGCAGCAGCGATACCCTTCTAAAATGATGCCGTTATACCAATTCACCTTGAAGTTTGGGACTGGGTGCACAGCCTTTCAAGGCGTGGGAAGGCATAACGCTTCTCATGACCATTGGCAAGTTTGTTCCCAGCAATGCACATGACAACATATGAGAACGGCGCAGCTCCACTTGTACTGCGTTACACTTCGCCCGCGGGCTTTGTATAGTTTCTCGCTACGACATGGTTAGGCAGTACGCCTTTCACGAGAATGCCACCAATGCCTCCACCGAATGCCGTTCTCCGGTCACCAGGCACACTTGCGACTCATCTCAAGCCGTGTCAATCGTGAGAAAGATTCGCCTTGGGTACTGACTCGTGTGTTTTTAAGCCGCCGTTTGACCATCGATGCCCCGTTGTGCGTTTGTCTCCCAAACCTCGTATGGCACTGGCCCCGAACTAGCAAGCCTCCCACTCATTTTCCATGTCGCAGCCTAGGATGGGCTATGCAGTTCCCAACTGACAGTATTCAATGCCTTCAGTGTTCTTAACTTGTTCGATTTTCTTGTTGACCTGCTTTATCATCTATCTATACGTTCCAATGTTACAGAAGACCGCCGAAGCCTCCGGCAAGAAGGAGTACACCCGAAAAGACATTTGGGAGGCCTTCAAGGATGTCAAATCTAATCCGCAGCCTAGTAGTGCCTGGACAAGACAGAACATACCATCTGAACTGCAAAGCGTTGAAGACGACTCGGACTTGCCAGAAAAGCTCAAACAAATCCTCGTCTGGTCACTATCTGTCCATTCGCCTCCGTCACAAAGCAACGCTCGGCCTAGCATTCAACCCCCGGGGGGACCTTCAGTTCAAGACTCGCGACAAGCACATGAGGATAGCAAATTTCATCAGACAAATGCAGAGTCGGCTTGTCGCTCGGTTGCCTCCGAAAAGTTTGACAATGATGACACATCCGAATCGCGGAGCACTCAATCCGAGCGCCGTCTCGAAAAAAGTCGATTAAGACCACGGTACATTGGTGGTAGCGTTCTTGGGTCTACGATCAGCCTTATCACAGCCTTCAAGAACAAGTCGGAGAAGGAATCATCCCAGCCTCATATTGATGCAAAGAAGGCTCCGTCAAAGAAAGCTCCTCAGGTTGAATGTACAAGTTGCTTTGAAGACATCCCCGAGAATGCCACAAGCAAACTTCCTTGCAATCACTCATACTGCAAGCCATGTTTGACGACCCTGATCACAACTGCTCTCCAAACCGAATCTAGCTTCCCGCCCAAGTGCTGCTTGACAGAAATACCATTACAGACAGTTTTATTATCACTCGACTCCAAACAGAGGGAGATATATAAAGAGAAGGCTGCTGAGTATGCAATTGCGCCTCAAGAAAGATGGTACTGCCCAAACACAAAATGCTTGAAATGGATACCACCCTCGAAGCTACAGCGCATCCGCATATTGAACCTGAAATGCCCCCATTGTGCAACCAAGATTTGCAGTGTATGTCGCGGCCTAGCCCACCGAGATTCCGCAGATTGCCCTCAAGACTACGGCCTTGAAGCTACAATTATGCTGGCTGAACTGGAGGGCTGGCGACGTTGCTTCAAATGCCGCACCATGGTCGAGGTAACATTGCCTTTCCTCAGTCACAGAGACCGGCTAACAAGTATCAGCGAACACAAGGGTGCCGTCATATGACCTGTAAATGTGGTGCGCAGTTCTGCTACTCATGCGGGGCAAAGTGGCGGAGCTGTTCTTGCACCGAAACGGATGAAGCCAACCGTCAGGCAGAATTGAGACGCCGTAGAGGAGACAGAGCGATTGCAGTGAATGCCGAAGTTGCAGAAATTGATCGAGTAATTGCTCAGGTCGAGGAAATGGAGCGGCGTGAGGCCGAGGAACGTCGAAGAGAAGAGCAAAGACGTGAAGCAGACCAGCGCAGAGAAGAGGCTGAACTTGCAAGACTCGAAGAGCTGCGCCTGCGTGAGGAGGAAGCTAGGCGATTGGAAGAAGAACGAATGACCCAAGAACTACGACGAATTCTCCAACTCTCCGTCGAGGAAACGTGTGACGCAATCCAGTCTGCCTGGGATGATCTGCTGCAATCACAGAGAAAGCGCTTGGATGACAGACATTTGCAAGCTGAGCAACAGCATGCGCAGGAGCGCGATGAGGCAACGAAACGACAGCAACAAGAGAATGGAGAAAACTTCGCCAAAATGGAATCCAACCTCGGAAAGAGAACTTCCACCATCAAGGAGAGGCACAATAAGGAACTGGAAGCCTTTAACACTGAGCAGCAGGACCTGGAAGATGACCTGTTCCTAGAAATTCAACTACACCTCCGGGGCAAGCAGGACAAGCAATCCCGAGAGCGCCGCCTTCAAGAACGATTCCAGAGACAGCGCGACGAGAAACAACGCAAAATGCTTTCAAAGCATCGATCTGAATCAGAATCTCTGCAGGCGAACGCCACAATGGAACTGCAGGGCCTCAAATTGAGCAACGAGAGCAAGTTGGCCAGGCTCGAGCACAGATACCGAGTGGATTTTGAGATTCTGTTGGCGAACGTTGTAGCAGACCGCGCGTGGTTCGACTTCCTCGCAGAGAAACGGCAAAACATGGTCGACGCGAACCGGCGACTTATGCTTGCGGCTCTAGAAGCCGATCAAGAGCCGGTGGGGTTGACCGAAGAGACGGCCACGACAATCGGTCCCTTCTTGACAAGTATGCGGTGTGAAGCACATGGCACTGAATCCGCACCTCACCTCAGCGGCGCAGTTCTTCAGGAACCGGTGCAGGAGCCATGGAGAGAGGTCCTATCTCCATCACCGGCACACAGTGCGTCTCCGGCGCGCTCCTTGGTCGAGCTTGCTGCAACGTCCCAGCAGTTATTAAACAGTTTGAATGAATCACACATCGTGGCAGAGTCGGACGTGAAGAGTTCACAACCCGGCGCTGTCGTCCAACCCATGTCCAACCGTGCCTTCGCGTGGATGACCGGTGGTGCTGAGGACGTCGCGACCTCAAGAATTCATCACGATGTCACTGCGCGCCACTCACCCCCAGCTGGTGGAAGCCAAGGATTTCCCAGTCAAACCTACGCCCACGCTGCTCCATTGAGATTTGCGGCGACATCCAATCCGACTGAGATGATGATGTCGGGAGGACTGCGGCCAACAGGACACTCGGTAGCACCATCCATGGACCGTCTTGGAGTTCCGAGTTTGATTCCCCCACCTCTGCAGACCGGGAGACGACAGCTACAGCGAACCACGGACGGTTTGAAAGGCCCAGAGCGCTACGCGAACGATCCACCCCCGCCCGTGCCCAAAGTGCCCGCCATCTACCTTGCGCGGCAGCGCGACACCGAGACAGAGATCGAACACAGCCCATACACAATGCAACAGCCCAGAGGACTGGGTGGCTTAGTGCCGATCGAGGCCAACCGAGACAACAGGCACGGCGGCGCGAGTCACGGCGGGGAGCATAAGCGCCAGTCCTCCTCCTCAGGTTCTCTCACCAGTTCCAGCTCGCTCTTGACTCCCTCGATAACGACGACCTCGATCTCGACGACACCGCGGTCCTCACCGTCTGCGACCCGCACGTCGAGTTCTCGAAGCAGCGGCGAGAGCCTCTTCCTGCACAGCTTGATCACGGCGACCACCAACGCCGCCACCGCGGCAGGACGACCGTCCAGGACCTCGCTGTCGCCGGTCTCGCCCATCTCTCCTGCGGTGCCTGTGGACGTGGCCAAGCAGAAGTCCGGAGGACCGGGGAGCCCACAGATGCGCCCGACACGGTCGGTGTGGTCGATTCTGGGCTGAGATAACTACAAAGCACTCACCAAGGGAGAACGGACAAGTTGGCCAATTAGTTAATTGGTTGGCTTTGTTGGTCGATTCGTCACTAGTTGGTGTATGTGCGGTGTATTACTATATGCAAAAGACCCGGAAGAGGAAGGCGAGGAAGAGTCCACTCGACCCCATTTACCATGTAAAAAGCATCAATTGATAAAAAAACAAGGGGGGGATTTATTTGCGGCCGTTGACTTGATCGATTTTGCCCCTCGACTTTGTCCGCATTTAGCAAAATAACCCTCAGACGGCCGGGACGGCCTTCTCCGTGCGCGTGGTGAGGAGGAGGGGGGACTTGTTGATTGATATCTAAGATAGATGAGTAGATAGATATATGCACTTGCTTCGTAGAGCATATCCTGGCGCATCGCCTCGCATCTGACGACGTCTGGTGCCCCAAGGGAAAAGGGGCAAAGTGAGGACACGGCATCTAATTCTCTCGGTGCTAGGTGCTAACCAAACCATGACGACCGTCGACAGCACACGATTCCTCGCAAATGGCGGATATCTTCAGAAGGGGCGGGAAAAGAATCTCCGCCCGGACGATCTGGGGAGGAAGACGCTGAGTTTGGCACCCTCCAGGTACGTGACCGAGGCCACTTCACAACGCCTCCTGCGCAGGTGTCGCGTCCCTTCTCTGGGCGAACCAAAACAAAACCCACTGCAAGCTGTCACCGTCAAAGAGTGCCATTGACTCGGCGCAGATGGTATCGCGACGAGAAAATCTTCCAGCTCGAGAGGCGTGCGTTGTTCTCCACGGTATGACTTGTCTTGCTTTTCAAATTCTAGTCTCGCCTAAGCCTGAGTGATGACAAGTCTTTTAACGTGGTCACGAAATTCTGCTGGGACGATGACATGTCTGACGTCCTTCCTTACCTCAGCTATGGCACGTAGCGAGTTTCATTGCACGGTTTCAGAAAGCAGGAGATTACCTGACACTGGAGGTATGAGCTTTACACCCCTACCAAGCGTTATCGTGGCCCAAGCTGAAGTGCCTGTGGAGATGTTCGGCTGGAACTTCTTCCTCATCCGCGACAAAGATGGGAACATCAATGCCTTCCACAACATCTGTCGGCACCGAGGACACCCCGTCACCCAGAAGGCCAGTGGATCGAGTACGGTGCTGGCATGTCGGTTTCACGGCTGGTCGTACCTTCCCAACGGAGACCTGCACAAAGCCCGAGAATACAGCAACCTTCCGGACTTTGATCCCAAGCAGCATTCGTTGTTCAAAATTCACACCCATGTGACGGCTCAGGGATTCATATTTGTGAACTTTGACGCAAGAGAGACTCCTGCGGTGAGTTTCGAGGAGCAGTTTGGCGACGACTTCGATCCAGCACCGACGACGAAGACGGGAAGGGAAATTGGTGACGAGTTTGCGTTGTTTCCTAAGGACGGGTGGGAGTATGATCATACGTGGAACAGCTCTGTGGCGGGAACCGAGTTCAATTGGAAAACCTTTGCGGATGGATTTCAGGTTTGTCATTTTGGTGCCGTTCCTTGAACTTCAGTAACATGGCGTCAGGAATGTTACCATTGCCAGACTGGGCATCCGACGACGTTGCCCAAAGACTTTGCGCTGGACCAGTATTACTTGCGTCAGGGGATAGGAGCGTCACGCCATTTCCTGCCTCCTAAGAGAGAAGGGTTGTCGGAAGCGTATATCAGTAAGTTCGTCTGGGGAATTCCTGTAACAGGAGCACGGCGACGCTGACACCCAGGTCCGCCTTGTTCGTTTAGCCTGGTTGTACCCCATCGGTGCTGTGATATTCAGTGACAATCTCCTCTTCATTGCCCGATATAACGCAGCGGGAGCACTTGAAACATCGTATCAAAGTGAAACGTACCGGAGGTCGAGCATGCAGAAACCCAGCCCGGAATACGACCATTGGATGGAGCACGACATTGGGTATTGGCGATTCGTAGAGATTGAGGACGTTGAATTGGCCGTCAATGCGCAGAAAGGGTTTAAATCCGGAGTACTGGGCCTAGGCCGGCTGCACTCGATCGAAGGTATGTGACCAGAGTCTTACCAATCCCGTTGGAAAATAGATCCAGCAGGCTGACGACGCCCTCGTTCTCGACGAACAGAACACGCGGTTAAATGGTATCTCGACAAGGTGAGGGCTGTGTTAGTGGGACACGCCGAGGCGGAGAAAGCAGCAGGTAAAAATATCGATTATTCAGTTCCCCAGGCACAGAGCGAGGCGGCGGAGCAGGATGAACTTTGCAAGTTGGTCGGACCAGAGTATGAATGGTAGAGTAGCTCGAGCTTCAGTAGAGAGCGGACTCCGCCTCCTGCAAGATAGAGTTGATGTGTGTAAAGGACCGAGGGTGATTGGGTGAGTGGTTTGCCTTATCGGAGGTGGTGTTTGGTTTGCCCCGACAGCATTGCACATGCATGCATCGAGCATGTATCAGCGATGTGAGTGGTAGGGATTCTGGTCTACTACCAAGTATTCTCATGGGAATGGCAATGATGCTCGTGTTGATCACGGGGCGGGCGGACATGGTCGTTCGAATACCGAATACAGCACTGCGCTGTCGGATGGGAGGAGCCGACAAGGAAGTGTTCACACAGATGGTACACAAGTATGATATTGGGGTGGGATTTGAAACCAGGGAGAATCCACTCTTGATTGCAGATCAAACATGCAAGATGGAGACTCGCTGTGTTGCCACAAGCAGATGAGCATGGATTTTGTGGGATGTCTGTGTCTGTGTAACATGGGGCACCAGGCATCCACAGGACAGAGTACCAGGTCTGGGAGCACGGAGTAGCAGGTAGAGCCGGGGGGGGGGGGGGGTCAGATAGGTGGGCTGGTGGGCTGGTGGGCTGGTGGGCTCAGGGGATAGAGGATAGAGAGGCACCGAGAGAGAGACTGTGAGAGGACACTGTTGTGATTTTTTTTTTTCTGTGTCAGACCCGCATTAGGGGTTGAGTTTTGATCCACCTGTGACGTCAATTCCTCAACAAATGAAGTTTCATTTCAGTTGAGTGCGCGGTATTTCTGAAGAATGAGTGAAGAGTGAAGAGTGAAAGAGTAAAGATCAATTCCCTGACAGAAATGGCTGACACGTCCAGTCCTCTCAGTTCTCAATTTCCAGTACGAGGTCATGAAGACGCCGGATGTTGTATCCTGGCTGCAGACCGAGTACTGGGGACTGGGTACCTGGTCCATCATCACCTTGTTGATGTATCATGACTGGCCTGTCCCGTGCATCATCGAGTCATCGAATCATCATATGGCGCCATTGATGTGGGTTGTGTTGTGCGCACTTGTCTCTGTCCCTTCACACACGGCGGCCGTTGCATGCATGTGGCCTGTCCGGTGCCACCCTCTCCGTGGTTGCACGGGGATCTGACTCTCATGTCGGACAACCATCTCCCAAAGCTTGACTTCCGCCGTGGCGCCTACTCTGATGCGGCGAATCAGGCCTTTGGCCATCGAATGCAGGGCCCGACCTCAGCTCCCCTACCTCTCCCTCCTTCGCTGCCCGATCTTTTTTCTAAGGGCTAAAAGCACCAGAGACGAGGACATGGTCAATATGTAGCTAAGACTTCGGACGTGAATGGCGTCGATGGAGACAGACAGATAGATATTGTAAAGAGCTGGAGGGTCGATAACCAGGGCCGGTCTGGATTGCTCGACTGCTTGATTGCGTGAAAATGTCCCACCTCCCGCGTCTCGGGCTGCAGCCAATCGTGTATCGGCCCTGGCCACTACTTGCGGCTTGGTTCAGCCGCCATGGCTGGTTTGAGGCGTGGACGGTGGTTGAAAGGCTGCATGCTAAGACACATGCGGACGCGGTAGCAGGGGGGGTTCTTGGGGGAGTAGCTCGTAGTTTTTTTAGTCTTCTCGCATCTTCAATTGCCATATCCACTTTGCCCCGGAGTGCCATACTGGGTACCCGGACAGATACTCCGTATTGTCTCTGGTCTTTCCTATTACTACTATCTCTTCTCGCAAATTCCCTCCATTGCGGCCCTTCGTTTTCTTCCCTCTTTGCCTGCCTGCGCTGTACCTCACGGGACTCGGTACTCTGTCCTTTTATCTCGACTCATTCGCTCTGTCGAGTTGGCTGTGCCTACCTATTACATCCCTCTCTTCCTCTCTGTATCTATACTGTCGACGTCCAACAACCACCCCCCCTTTAACCCGCTCGTCGCTGCCCTCGTCCCTTGAATCTTGATGGCAACTTCCCAATCTGCATGACGCCCGTCAATCTTTCGTTCGCTCGGCCTACCGTTATCCCAATTTCCTCCTTCGTATCGTCTTCTACCTGGACCGCGGCCGTGACCAACACCACCTTTCGCGCCAGCTACCCGCCTCCTCACCCTCAGTCGCTCATTTAGGCCTGTTTCCCTTTTAACCATTTCATCGACAACTTCTCTGTCAATTCGAACCGAACTCGTATGACCCGAAGAATCACCATCACTGGCAGCCGCTCCGAGATGGGCTTGCTCGAGGACTCGCCTGTTGAGCCCGAAACACCTCCCCCAAGTTGGTCCCCCGCCAAACACGACTTCTGGAAGAAGCCGTCGAGATGGCAGATCTGCATGCCCCGGCTTCGCATGACGCTCAAAATCATCGCCACCTTTATCGGCTTCATCCTTCTCATCAAGATCATGAATGCAACGCCTCCGCCCCCGCCCCCTGAACCCGCGCCAGAGATCCCAGAAGTCCCCGAAGTGCCTGATACCCCGGAAGTCATAGACACACAAGAGGTCACGGATCTTCCACCGCCTTCACCCACCGAGGATGAGCTGATGGAACTGACGATGGAGAATGCAAAGAAAGAGCAATGGATCTGGAAAGACTTTAAAACGTATGTCACCACCTGCTTTGGCGTGTAGTGATGGTTCCTGGCAGCGCCCTAACCGTGTTGATTTGACCAGGCATGACGGTTTGACACGTGGAACGTCACACCTCCGCGCTTGTGAGACCGGCGAAGTCGATTGCAAAAACAAGAGCCCACTCCTCATTCGTTATGATGGCTATCGCGGTTTCCAAGAACCTGTGGAACGTATCGTCTCCTGCGTCGGTCCGCGCGGTGTCCCTTTGAATGAGAGCTACGAGGATGCCATTTGGGCCTATCCCGGTCAAGCGAACGGTGAGAGTCCGTGATTTCGGATGCTTGGACATGTCTGACTTGAATCCTATAGGTGCCGTTGAGCCTACCCTGGGCTCATACGAGGCGTCCGGCTTGGACGGGAGCGTGTCCTTTGACCGTGTTGGTCGCTTCCGGGCCTATGGAATCGATCAGTGGGACGCTAATGACGTCGAAGAGATGAAGAAGATGAGCGATGTTGACTGGGACATGGTTGACTGGGGTGAATTGCAGGATGATTGTGCTGTCGCCAATAAGCAGCGCTTTCGACCCTTCAAAGAGCGCCCTGCGAGTTCAATCCAGTATTCTAACCTCCGACACAAGCACGACCAGTCCTCATCCAAAGCACTCTCATCCACCCTGGAACCTGGCATGATCAACAAGGCAAAACGGACTGCGATTCTGATTCGAGTCTGGACGGGCGCAAAGTGGACCGCCGACGCCGTGATGAATGTTCGTGCCATGGTGGCGGAGGCTTCTTTGGCCAGCGGAGGGAAGTATCAGGTATTTCTTCTTCTCCATGTCAAGGACGAAAATGTCCCTCTCTTCGTCGGTGAGGATGAGCCGCGAGCAACCATCGAGAAGCATATCCCTCCCGAATTCCGGTCCATGACCGAAGTATGGAATCACGCTCAGATTCGAGGTCTGTATTCCAACTTGGCCGAACACGCTTTTGTTGGCCGGTCACCCTGGATGATCATCCAATGGTTCGCCCGCAATCACCCCGAGTTCGATTTCTTTTACCAGTGGGAGTTTGACGTGCGCTATACCGGCCACTACCTGGACTTTTTCGAAGCCGTGGAAAATTTCGGACGCAGACAACCGCGAAAAGGCATCTGGGAACGAGCTGGCAGGGTCTACATTCCCTCCGTCCATGGGGATTTTGACACCGATTTCCGCAATTCAACGAGGGAGGAAGATCCTCACCATATCTGGGGCCCGGTATCCGTTGAAGGCGTCCGACCCCGTGGGCCTAAGCCGCCCAAGGAGGAAGAAGACAATTTCGAATGGGGAGTCGGCGAAGATGCTGACTGGATTGGCTTTCTCCCGAGCTTCAACGTGACCGGTACCGGCTGGTGGTTCCGCAACTATCTCTGGGGTTATGCTCAGGGCACGTCTACTCCGAGAAGGGCCACTCTCATTGCTCAAGGAAGAGTCAGTCGGCGCGTCCTGGAAATCATGAATTATGAAAATGCAGAGAACGGGCATCACATCGACGCGGAGATGTTCCCTCAGACCATGTGTCTCCATCACGGGCTGAAGTCGACCACATTCCCACACCCCATCTTTGCCGATCGATTTTGGCCTCCGGGCGCGCTGCAATCCACATTCAACGGCGGGCCGTTCGGCCAGGCCGGAGGTTATTGGAATAGCACATTCAGCAAATGGAACGAATATGCGTGGACCAACATGACCTGGTATTACAGCTCTGCTCAGGCAATGCCAATCTTCCAACGCCTTCTCGGGGTCACGGCTCTCGAGAGTGGTGGTCCGGAATGGGAGGACGTTTATGGCAAAACTGTCGTTCGACCAATGCTGCTTCATCCCGTCAAGGGCGCTAAGACCTGGCAATGGACCGAGGATGGATGGCTCCAGACCAAGGCTCGAACCTGATCCATTCGGAAACCACCGTCACCGCGCAATCCACGGATTCCCACCATCACTTTTGTTTTCGCATCAGCCCTGGCGTTTGGCGTTTGGAGAAACCTGTTCGCGTCAGTCTGGCACTCCTCCATCGAACTCGTTGTCAACCTGATCCGCATCGATCAGAGGGTGACCATTGCAGATATCGACCAGAAGACATCCCTTGGAAAGAGAAATTGTACATACCGGCATGACTGTTTATTTTCCATGACGACTAGGGGCGCCATTCCTCCCCCCCCCCCATGAAAGATGAGACACTGATACATACATGACAGAGGAATTCCAGAGACAGGACAGCTGGATATGAGCTTGTTATCAAGCTATGGAAAGCATGAGCTAGGCCGGAAAACTCAGTACCCAATAGATAGAGATATGATCGACCATTAGACGGCCGGCATTAATTATAATGTAAATGTTCGCTGGCGATGGGGCTTTCATTCGGGATTAACGGTCCGCTTTCTAACTGTAACGAGCACGTCAGACCCTTGGAAGGCTATTGAACGTGCAAGTAAGCTCCAGGGGCAAGTATTTATGGAATCCCGCCGGACGCGAGAAATGCATGGATATGCAACTGCAATCTCGATGCATGAATGGAAAAGTGGCTCGCTCACAAATCTGACCGGGAGTGTCGTGATGTGTACGAGGAACTACGAAATCCCGAATCGCGGGCGGGCTGTCACAGTGGTTCCGCATCTCTGCTTATCCAGGCCAGTCCAGTCCGATGTCAGTCGGGACTCGCAAGACCCAAGTTATCCTCGTGTGCAAGCGGTTTTTTCTCTGTTTTCCCCCCAAATCTCGCCTGGTCAACACAGATCAATGAGCGCTCATGCGGGTTACATGGCTGTTGAGACCTCATGTCCACAAATCCCTTCCGTAAGAGTAGTTCATTGAAAGGTCCTGGCGGAAGCAGCACTCCCACTCCCACCCTCAATCTCACATCGGATCCTCGCGGCACCAGCCCTGGCGCTCTTTCTCTTGATACCAGAGGTATGTGTGTGCCATTTATTTTCAGGCGCTTCTCTGGCCCCTGCTGAATCACTCGAGCAGTGCACGGTGCATCGCAGAAACATGTGAACTTCGCTTCTCCTCCGGCCATACCCATATCGCCGGTCTCATATCCCCCCTCGCCCGAGTCTACGCGACAGGAGTTTCTATCCACGTTCCCCAGCCCGAAATCTCCTTTCCCTGCGCCGACGGACTACAGCCAAGCCCTCGCGAGCGATCCCTTTGCGGCCGAAGCTTCCGACGAGGACGATAGTGCGATCGAGGAGGCATTGGAGAATGCGAAGGCCAGCAATGAGATTACCGCGCCTGGCTCGATCATAACGAAAGCCTCGAGAGAAGATGCAGTGAAAGAGACCCTAGGGCGATTTGCGAGTGCTCCGAGGCGGCTAGTTGACCATCAATCAGCGGCCGCCGGTTCGAAAGACCTCAGCGGGTCCTCGAAATCAATCATGGATGTGGATGCTTTCAAGAGGATGCTGCTGACAGGAGATCGTGGCTCTTCTTGGTCTCGCGATACAGCGGTGCAGAGCACTCAGTCAGGCCCAAATCCTGTAAGTGACAGTGGTTCCAGTGCGGACACGGCATCAATCTCACAGCACTCAATATTTGAGACTGTCCAACCTGCGCACGACGAAAGTCCCCGGACTTCAGATGAGCTAGACGCCAGCGAGGTCAATACCTATCGAGCACACCTTGGGACCATCTCAGAAAAAGGGGAGAAGCCCCCTCCGCCCAAGAGCAGGCGTGGAAAAACCCTCAAAGACTCCGGGACCGAGCCAGGTCCCACGGCCAAATTCGACACCTTTATCAACTCGCTGTCGTTGCCCAGCAGCCGAAACATCAACTCCGAAGTGCCGAGTTTGAGGTCGCCTCCGATTGACGAAAGTCCTGCCAGTGATCGATTCACGAGTGCTGGACCTCCCGACACGCCCAAGAAAGTGCCGCCAGCGCCTCCAGTAACCCGCCGGAAAAGCCAGCAAGCACCGAAGAAACCGGTCTTAGCACGAAGCAGTTCTTCTCGATACTCGGTTTTCAGCGAGACCGATGGACCTCCAAGTCCATCCTTTCCCAGCTCTGGATCAAAACCCCCTCCGCCACCCCCAGCGCGGCGGGCTAATAGTACCGGCGACCGTCGCCCTTCGCTCGACGTCACCTCCATTCCGGAGAACGCGAACCTGACAGAAACCGAATTAAGGCCGGGCATACACTCTACTCCATCCTACTTGAAACGGATGAGTCAGGGACTCCCGCCTCCCCTTCCGCCGCCTCGGCGAGGTAGAGGCTCTAGTCGAAGCAGCATGGAGACTACGAGGCCGCCAATGGCGCATCTTGGCATGGCCGAAGCAGGAGGGAGTGATATGGGATTTCCCAAGAGTGACCCGAGAGATATTTTGGCGGACCTTGCAGCCTTGCAGCGCGAGGTGGACGCTGCTAGAGCAGGGGCAGGTCAGTGACGAAGAGATGACATTGACTGACGAAGAACAGTATATGTATGATATGGTAATAACCCCAAGAATCATGGGATTGTCCCATACTAGTTGGTCGGTTCTGCCTCGACCCTTTAATAGAGGCTTTTTGTCCTTTCGTAAGGGCCCAAGGGATATGTTGTCACGTGAAAACCGGGGCGCATGACGTAGCTCGGTAGCCAAGCGGAACTTGCCATCCCTGCGACGTGCATGCATGCGTTTCTCGTTTCTGGGGAACTTCAGGTCCAACGTCTTTAACCCCAAGGCGTAACTTGCGAATTCCCTACCTGAACTTTTGACTCAGGCCCTCCCTTGAACCCTCACTTTAGATTCACCAACATCAACTCTCCCGTGTCTATCACTATAACCAACAAAGATCTTCCTCAAGAAGCCCTACAAGCGACACTCTCTGTCACTCAGCCCCCGCAATTGTACTATTTCCACACGCCCCCGCTGCTCGAAAAGCCCCCCTCGACCTCCCAGGGGTTTCCTTCCAACCCAACCACATCGCCAGCCTATAATGACTGCGTGATTACTGTTTCTATCCTTATCTCAACGGCAGCTGTTCCATTTGCTTGCCGTATTCGCGTTGTGGTCCCAAGATTCAGCCGATCCGAGCCCCCAGTTGCAACTTCACCTACCGCAGTTCCATTCTTCCAGTTGAAGGAGAGATCCCCCGCGACCATGCCTAATAGAGGTCCAACCCTGATCAACCGTATGTCACTGAGCCTTCTTTCATGATGCAAACCGTTAGGGAAAACTAATCTGGCGGGCCTACAGTCCCTCCGCCTCCTTCAGACCCTGCCACGCCCAGCGAAATGGGCCCTGGCACCCCCAACTCCACCACCACCTCTCTCTCAGCATTGTCTGTCGTCGCTATCAAAGACGGCGCCATCGGCCATGGCGGTAGAGGAGCAGCCGCGTCTGCAAATACTCTTGAGGCTGAACGAGCCGACCGCATCTCCCGCCTTGCCGGCCTGGAGAGAGTTGCGACTTCTCGACCCACCCCTCTAGGGCACCTTGCTCCGGGTTCTGGTGCCCTGTACGGTCAAGCCTTCGATAACGCCCCTCAATTTAAGGAGCGAAGTACGGTTGGGAGCGCCAGCGCAACAGGTAGCGTTGGTGGCCGAACCACTTGGGCGAGTGGCAGTGTCGACTACGATGCAGACAAGATGAGCGAGGACCCAGATGACGGGGTCTCGAGCACAGGTGGATTCAGCGACGAGGACAAGGCGAGCCTCGTGGGATTTGGTGAAGGAGCCGGTAGCACAGTCAGTGGCCCCGTTTCCACGCCTTACAATACTCGCGCTTCTATTTCGCGACAAAGCACCAATGTCAACGCACCCTCGACCCCACGAACTGGAACTTTACCGATGTTTGGCTCTGGCCAGAGCACACCCATGAGCGGGATTACCCCTAGTGCCGCCGCAGGAAGCACCGATCCAAAGATGATGGACGGGATGAGTTACGACCAGAATTTCATCGACACGACAATGCAGCCAGCCCCCCCGATCGACGACACCTCGACACGCCCTCAGACAAATCGATTTTCGGGGATGGGAACTGAAATGGCAGAGGAAGTCATGCGAGATCGACTCAGGGATCTGGAGCAGGCGCAACAATCGATGCAGCCAGGGAACGGGCAGACATTAGGCAGATTCCCCTTTGAGAAGGAATAGGCTCACGGCGTCGGCGTTGACTTCCCCTTTGCTGATACAGGGTCGGACCAAGCAAGAGAGTCGGACAAGGGGTTTCCTGGGCAAGATCATTCTTATGGAACATGGAAGGATGAGCTTTGTGAGTGACTGTACGATATCGATAACTTGAGTTTGAAGCGGAAGGTCCAGAGGCTTGCCCGATGACGGGTGGTATGCCGCTTGTTTGCTAGGCGTTGGGTCTCTTTACTCGCTTTTGGCTGGGATCGCCAGGGACTCGGTAGAAAGAATGACATCCATTACAAAAGGTCCGCCAAGGACATTCAAGTCAACTACGTATGTAATCGGCGCCAGCGCGCTTTGACTAAGTCCCCGGGGGGAAGTTTACCCACGTAGCGAGGTAAACAGGGGAAGCACAGCACGATACCGGCTTTCTGCGGTGACGAACACGGCGCCTATGTAGGGGAGAGACGGCGAATCGTGCAGCTGGCGAGGCTGAAACTCCCTTCAATGCAGCGGTCTAGCATCAGGGCACCTTGAGCCTCGCACTAACACCTTGGCGAGCCTGACTAGATCCTGGACCGAAGTAAGCGCACCGCCATTCTTAGAGGCACCTAAAATGGCAGGCTAACCCGTGCTGGGCTATGACACACCGTTAAACAGAAGTTTTCCAGCACCTGCACCTGCGCCTTCGCCTGCGCCTAGGCTCTACCACAGTCTACCGCTAGCCTGGCATTCACGAAACTTGGTCCTCTTCTGTTGGACATTTTTTTGTCCCTTCTTCCACTCTCCCTCTCCCTCTTTTCCCTCCACCGCCCCTCTCGTCACCCTGTCCAATTTGTTTGTCCCCTCCTGCAATCGCTGATATTAAGTTATCAAGTACGGAAAAGACTCGAATTGTGACAATCTCACCGCCACAAAGGCTGCCGCCATCCGCGAATTTCCTGGTTCGCAGTGTTGATAACCTGACACAAGTCCTTGTTGACCCTCGACCGTTTCTTCCTGCCAGACCCACGCTCTCCTACGACAAAGGCTGTCTATCTTGACTGCTCGGAACGCCCAGCCGTGTTCAAGAACCCACGGAACATGGCTCTCACTCAGTTTGCCTGTATGTGTCATCGAGGGCGCAGCTCGCGACAAAATATGTCCGGGCCTTCTTGCTGACTTCGCATATCATAGTCCGGACTCTTAAGGGGATCGGTGTGGTCAACGGTGCACCGAGTTACGAGCCGCTTTCCGGTTTTGAGAGGTTCGTTCTGATGCCTCGCCTGACACCGCTTTAGCCGCGTTGCTAACGGTCAGTATGCTAGACCCGAAGGAAATCTGCGATGCTGCTCCTACTCCCCCTGCGGCCGATACTTTGCATGGGCCTACCCCGAAAAGTATGATCCTGGAACGCTGCCAAAACTCGAGTGAGAGACACTGACTCGAGACAAGGGTCAACATTATCGACGCTGACACAGGTGTCATCATCTCCTCCCTTCCCGCCGAGAACGTTTTCGAACTGGGCTTCTCGCCCAAGGGTACCTACATAATCACGTGGCAACGCCCTTCCAAAGACGACAACGGTGACGCCGTCAAGAACCTCAAGGTGTGGCTGGTCATAGACGAGAAGGCGGTGGCAGAAGGCGTCGACAAGGAACCAGTCGCCAGATTCGTGCAAAAGTCTCAGACCGGGTGGAATTTGCAGTACACCCACGATGAGGCCTTTTGTGCGAGAGTGGTCACGAACGAGGTACAAATATACGAGAGCCACGATCTGACGACGGTTTGGAATAAAATCCGCGTTGAAGGTGTGACGGACTTTGCGGTGTCGCCGGGGAAGAGCCACACCATTGCCGTCTTCGTGCCAGAGAGAAAGGTAACGCCATAGGCCCGCCGCAAGACTGCGCTATTGGGATCTGACCACGGCGATAGGGACAACCAGCTGCTGTCCGAGTTTACAACGTGCCGAATTTCACCGCCCCCGTGTCTCAGAAGAATTTTTTCAAAGGTGACAAGGTGCAGCTGAAGTGGAACGACCATGGCTCTTCTTTGATTGTGCTGGCACAAACCGAAGTCGACAAGACTGGCAAGAGCTACTATGGAGAGACCACACTCTATCTCCTCAGTGCGAACGGCGGCTTTGACTCGCGGATAGATCTAGGTAGGTGGCTCGGTCACTTCTGTCCGATAAACAGGTTGCTAACTCCAATGTCAGACAAGGAGGGCCCTATTCACGACGTCGCATGGTCACCAAAGTCGAACAGCTTTGCTGTCGTCTACGGTTACATGCCGGCCAAGACTGTGATATTCAATGCCAGAGCCCAGTCAGTACACACGTTTCCCCTCGGACCCCGCAATACCGTACTATTCTCTCCCCATGGACGTTTCGTGCTCGTGGCGGGTTTCGGAAATCTTGCTGGTCAGATGGATATCTATGACTTGGAGAAGGACTTCGCCAAGATCTGCACCATCGAGGCGAGTAATGCAAGCGTATGCGAATGGTCACCCGATGGCATTCACATCTTAACGGCAACGACGTCGCCCCGGCTCCGAGTCGACAACGGCATTCGGATCTGGCATGCTGGTGGTTCTCTAATGTATAACGAGGATATGAACGAGCTTTATCACGTTTGCTGGCGGCCGCAACCGGCCGATGCATATCCTTTGAGTGCTAACCCACTCGCCGATATCCCTTCTCCACATAGCAGTGCGATGGAATATATGGCAGCTCGCAAGACACCTAGCAAACCTGCTGGTGCGTACAGACCACCAGGGGCTCGTGGACAGGTCACGCCTTTGGCCTTCAAGCGCGAAGACGAAGGCGGTGCAGCCTTTGTTCGCGAGGGCATCTCCTCATTCTCAAGCAACATCAACGGGTTTGGAAAACCTCGTCAGCGAATTGTTCCAGGTGCTGAACCTGCCGAAGAAAAGACACCACTCCCTCCTGGTGCTGCTCCTGGAGGAGGGGTGAGTTTGACAGGCACTGGGGAAGGAGCGGACGGAGAACCAATGTCCAAAGCGGCCAAGAAGAATGCAAAGAAGAGAGAGGCAAGGAAAGCGGCGGCTGCAGCAGCAGCTCGCGAGCAACAAGGCGGTCCGGCAGCCAATAACCTCGCGCCAGAGCAACGACAACAAGGCGGAAGGGGAAAAAGCCCGAGTCGAAGCCCGGATGGTCGTGGCCATCAGCGCAGCCGAAGTAGGAATTACGTGCCCGCGCCTGGTCTTGAGCCGCCCACTGGTCCGAAGAAGGAACGAAGCAGGAGCAACAGCCGACGGCAACGCGGTGATGCCAACAGTTCGACGTATGATCGCAGTCACGCATTTGCAAATGGCACGCCCAAGGGGCCTGCTCAGGGCACATCCAACGCAAATGCTAATCAGCAGAACAAGACTCCTCGCACCAACGCGCCCACCAATATCAACACGACTATTCCCATGCCAACACCTCCACCTGTGCCTCAGGCCTCACAAATCCCTCCCGAGCTAGAAGTCACCTCTCCCATGACCCCTGGCGGCAATCCACAGGACAAGAAAATCCGAGGCCTGTTAAAGAAGATTCGAGCGATAGAGGATCTCAAGATGCGCTTTGCAGGGGGTGAAAAGCTGGAGGATACACAGATGAGGAAGATTCAGAGTGAAGAAGGGGTTAGGAAAGAGTTGGCGGCGTTGGGGTATTCTGCGTGAGAGCATTGTTCGGGATGGTCCGTTTGGCCATAATTTATACTGTGCATTTTTCAGCATGAGAGGATATCTCATTTGAGGGATGAACCGGTTGAGCATCAAGGAGAACAGCACAACACTATGCGCAGTGGCTGCGTCTTAGATTGGAGGCGGTGACTTGCCAGAGGTTGTCCTCAAGAGAGCCTCACGCTCGGCAAGGTGTCTGTTATTGGGTAGGCCATGTCAGGTCGGACCGTGTCCTCTCTTTGGGTCGGAGGAGTGTTTCTTGAGTCCTTGACACGGATCTCTTCCCTGTCGTCATCTCGCACGGCTGCGGTGGCTGTCTGGGCGTTGTGTCGAGCCAAGTTAGCTAGATCCACTTTACGATGGCTTCAGGGCGTTTTGTCAAGGGAAGGCTGGACCCTCTGTGTGTGCGTGCGTGCGTGCATTCTGTTTTGTGTTTTTTGTGTGTTCTCCCCATTCTTTTGCATAGCGAAGGGGGAATGCCCTATGGATGAAGAAAGGGGATCACAGGTCGGTGGATGGATGGATCGAGACTCACGAGGGCGTCGAGGCAGGTCAAAGGTAGACGGCGAGACAGATGGACATGAAACAGCAACACCGGCGGTCCATGCACGGCGGCGAGTGACAAAAGGCGCGATCGCCCTCGACGACTATATCTCCCATGCACCCATGCATCCATGCATCCGGCCCATCATCAAGCATCCGTCCAAAAGGCCAATTGGCTGTGTGGAAATGGATCTCCCAAACCAACCAACCCAAATCGAACGACACGAAGCCAAGCGAAACGAAGCGAAACGAAACGAAACGCAACTAAACTAAATCAGATAGACTATATATGGAAATCAAAAGTACCACCAAAAAAGCCATACGAAAATAGCATTTAAAAACAATGAAAACATTTCAAAGAGAAGAATAGAGTAGAATATTCGTACGTACGTGAAGTGACGAGAAGAGAAGTTGATGTATGCGGTAATGTGATGTGATGTGATATGATGCGCAGTGCAATGACATGATATGACATGACATAATGCGAGGTGATGAGATGAGATGTAAGCCACCGACACCAGCCCATTGAGAAGCGTAGACTGCAGTTGAACATGCGATTCCCAATGTAATACTCCATCCTTGGCCTTCCTCCTCGCAAGGGAGAGGTGTAGACGGGGCCCCGGCAGCTCGAGCACCCACCACCCCATTTATCTTGACCCCAGGCGCAAAAAGGCCAGGCGACGTAAGACAAAGGGTTGGGTTTGGAGCGAGTTCTGTGCTTTTTTTGATCTTTCGCGAAGAATACTGAGCCTGAGGGATTGAGTCAAGGTATTAATCTCGCCTTGGGCTCCACCTTGCATCGCGATTGGCAGAGTGGCTGGTGTTTTCATTTAGGACAGGGGAGAGGAGGACAGAAGGAATGGGGTAGCAGTGCAGCAGCGTAAAAGGGGGAACTCAAAGGAAGGAATAGATCAAACAATGCGTGGAAAGGCTGATTTTTGGGTTGGGGGGAATACAAGAGGCTGACCGTGACATGAAGAAGTTGCCTTTAGGGGAGCTCTTCTTTGCCCATTGTATGTTGTATATGCCGAGTTCTCAGCATAATTGAAAGCCTGAATAATCATTCGATTGCGTATTATGAAAGGCCGAATTCGAGATTTGGGGTATCGTACAGAGGATCCGTTCAGTTTGCCAACAAAAGAGTCAACTCCAGCCGCGGTAAGGAGAGCAGTCATCCAGATTTTCGACCACGATGGCTTGCTTGCATGGGTGTTCACGTGAATAGCCTCCTCTGCGGCACTGCTGACTCACCTTCGAGCACTTTTTTCCCATTGGGAATCCTCAATCCCCTGCCTTTCGCCGGCGTCGGGCTCCCCATGTCGATATCTTCATCTCCATCGTCATCATCAATGCGGAACCCTACACTCTTCGTAAAGAGGTTCATGGGCTTCTTAGTTGCACCTACGCCGCCCATGTCATCAAGAAGGCGGTCCATACCCTCCACATCCAGATTGCCGGACGCGAGTAATGCTTGGTCCGACGGGGCAGCTATTGTCTGTGAGGATGGGTCGACTGCGCTGGAACGTGAAGATAACGGATTCAGTGAGAGGATGAGGCGGTGAGAGGTTTGGATGAGCAAGTCAGGAGGAGAGAGCAGTGCGTTGTCGAAGATGCTGGTCCCAGAAAACATGCTGTTTGAACTCTCTGAGCTAGGAAGGAGGCTGATGGACAATGGTACCTGACCTCCTAGCCTTGCAGGTGGGAGGCGAATTGGTTTCGACTCACCCTTCCAGAAAGAGAGGATGGAAGGGACGTATATGGTTTCATCGGCGTAGCTGATGAGCACGGATTCGTCGTGCGCGACACGGTTCGGGAGCCTTTCCTCGACGTAGATGGAACCGTGGCATCGTTGGTTATTCGATTTTAATGCGTTGTTGGTGAGTTTTGAGCCTTGGAATAAGCCCGCGGATCGCACCTTACGGGTCGACGGGGTCATCGGTGCCAAAGAACCTGACGTTGGTTGTGCCTCTGCATGAGAAGATTTCTGTTTGGACTCGACGGCAGGAAAGATGTGCGACCGGATCGCAAACCGAGTCAAGGAGCCACCTTGAATGCCTGAGATGTTTCCATGCCCACGGAGGAGATTGGCACCGGAGCTGGAAGACGTAGGTCCTACGGCCTCTAGGTCCCAGATCCCCCATTCGCCATCTTCGAGCAAAGTTGCGACGGCACGGCCAGCGATGAGCCATCTCGCATCCAGGACTGCCTTTCGTCTCTGCTGGACAACTTCCATGTTCTCTGGTCGGAAGGACGGGAGCATTGTGATGAGAAATTTTCCTCGATCATTGGTGAGAAACCTTGATGAGCGCGTGCTCGACACAGAATCAGATGTTGCAGTAGATCCTCTACGCTCTCGAGTGCGTGATGGAAAAACTTGGTAGACCTTGACAGTGGAATCTGCAGGAAGGGTAATGAGCAAGGTCGAATGTCGTTCGGCAGGATACGGAGAAGTATTGAATGAGACCCTCGCATTCATCGACGAGGAACGGAGGTATGTCCTTCTGATTGGGTGAGCATAATCTGCATTTGGGGCAAGTTGATTCTTTTGTAGCGGAAGTTGATGCACCAGTAACAGTCCTGCACCAGTACACGAGATTGATGCCACGAGGAGCGACCAATGTACTGACTCTGCCTCTGCAGTCTCCCGCTTAGATTGAGATTGTGAGCGAGTTTGAGGCCTTGCTTGAGTTGGTTCCTCGACATCCTCTTGTTCCTTCAAAACAACTCCAGTATGAGTGATTGCAACGTCTGAGACGAACTGCTGGTGGGAGTTTGGGCCTTCTATTTTCAATATTTGTACATCCATTCTGGAGACGTCGTGCACTTCTGGAGCGGGAGGATCAAGAGGAGTGGAGATGACTCGGATGCTTAGATCAGTGCAAGCTGCAGCGACGATAATGCGATCGTTGTAAATGGCAGGCCATGACTCTGGAGGGGCTTGGGCGAGATCCTTTACAATATATGGCACTGCGATCCTCGAGGCTGCCGTTCCTAATGGTATGTCGATGTGCCGTAATACATCTCGGTATGGCGCCGACGGGTCCACTTCCTCCTCATCTTGTTTGAATTCAGCAGGCCTTGTTTCTGTTTCTGCCGACCCTGGCGTATCCTCGTCCTCGTCGTCGATGTCGATGACCATAGGGTCGGTTTTCGCAGTCCCATTTATCTTTGGTGTTGGGAGATCTTTCTTTGGCGGCTTAAATCCCTTGCCAGCGTACCACACAAGACGCAGACCTTGCTCGTGCCCGTAGACCACGACGGTGGAGCCATTTGAAGACTGTCGAGGGTAGACGTGCGATCTGAATGCTTCGTGCGGGAGTTCGTAGCTGGATGTGCAAGCTTAGACGAGGTCTAGCAACGGAGAAGGCGGACATACCTGAGCTGCCATCGCTCTTTCTGTCTCAGTATTGATCGACGCATCTTTCAAGATTGAATTGTGACCTGGAAGCAAAGTAGGAGCTGACAATTGTGTGGTTGCATAAAGTAGTGGTCAACGAGGTCGATTGGTAGGTGTGAGTTGAGCCACAAACTTTTCAATTTCTCCAAATCGCGTCGGGAACGCGTCGCTGTCACCACCGTACGTTCGCACTCACATTGTCTTCGCTGCGCCAAAAATGCGACTGAAGCGGTAATAACATTGAATATACATGGCGCTCCTGCAATAGATATGCTTATTGGGTCCAATCCATCACACCTGACCCTCATGTCTGTCGACCTTCCTCCGCCGTTTCATAGCCATGAGTTCAATCCAGTCGCTCGGCCTCCATGAGCCCAGCGCTCTACCCTACCTCGTTGCCGCTTCGATCCTCCCCACTGATCCTCCCACTTCACTATACAGATGGACACTCTCACGGGTGTACGACGAAAATGCCTCGAGTTTTGTGGAAGAAGAGATTCTTATGACAGAACACTGTGTGGTGTGGTCCAGGAACGGTGCAATTGAAAGAGCGCTGAACCTCAGTGTCGAGGGCGAGACGATTCTGCATGCTTTGGTCGCTAAGTTTGGCCCACCTGGAGATATCGAAGAGAACAGTCAACAGCAGCATAAAAACGGCAGGCCATTAGAGCGTGGACTGGTGGTGGTGTTCAAGACTCAAGTTCATATATTCCTTCTCTCCGGCGACAGCTATGTCTTCCCTCTCTCCTTTGAGGTTGATTCTGCGTTTCCTTTACCGTCTGGATTCATTCTACAGCGGAAGCTAGGGGAGATGGAGTCTGGTGGCTACGTTGAGCACGTCCATCACGACCTCAGCACTATCAACGAAACTCTGACTTCTATCGGTGGCAACAGCTCGAGACCGTCGCTGATCTTGCCAGAAAAGCGGCCCTCAGACCCTAGACTGGCGCCATCCAATGCCAATGGCATGCCCCGGACCTTTTCATTGACTAAGATCATGTCCGAGTTAGGGCTTGTGGTGTGGAGCCCTAGTCGGAAAGGTGAAGGTCTTGAACAATGCGGTGCACTTCCTCGCTCTGAGAAGGTGATTTTCATCTCTGCTGGTGACGAATTCGGGTCTGGAAGCGCGAGCGATCGACCTATCTGCATGGCCTTGACCCTCAATGAAAGAAATGCTTCCTTCACACTCTGGCATGTGAGCGGAGACGTCATGACCGAGAAACACAAACAACGAAGTGAGAAAGAAGCCAACACCAAATCTCGCGCGGCTTTGAGGAAGAGTTCAAACGTCTATGGCCGGGACCCTAGTAATCTCAGGGAAAGCCTTTTGGGTTCCCGCCCTCCGCATCCAGAGGGCGGGCCATTCTCGTCTTTAGAAGAACAGAAATCCTTTCCAGCAAATGACCTTGCTTCTCAACTGGGGCCTGAATTCGGCGATGTTGGGGTGCAAACGCGGTCGGCCCGTAGAGTCAGCTCCATGCTGGCACGAACAGATTTGGCTTCCGCAGCGGATCGAAACACGTTCAACGACCTAGCAATGGGTCACGCGGGCCGACAGAGTCTGAACAGGGCTGGCAGGCGAGGCGAATCAATCGGCAGTTTTAATGAGCGGCAGAGCTTTGGTTTTCGACGGAGAAGCTCTTTCCCGACAAATACATCTATTTTCAGTACCGGCACCTCGTTCCTAGACATCTCAGCCCGAGGACTATTAGAAGAATTTGACCCCTTGCGGCAGTCTATGCGTCTAGAAGACGATACTTTCGACGGCTCGGAAACCAATCTTCCCAGAGATGTCGGATTCTTCAAAGTCAAAAGTTTTCCGCGCCGACAGTCATCTACGGAGCCCGACTCCGCTTTTGACGTGAAGGTTCTACCGCTGAGCACTGGTAGTGCCTTCGTGCAGGATGGTGAGCGAACAAGGGACGTCTACCTCTGCGTAATGGACAAGAGCGCCCAGGAGATGACCATAGTTAGGGTTCTGGTGAAAAAACACATCCACGGCAACGCACGAAAGTCGACCATCTCCAAATATTCGTTTGAGCTCAAAGTGGCCGAAATTCGCAGATTGGCTGGCATTAAGGACGCATGCACGGTCGTGGACAGATCTATCCAGCGACTAGTCGTCTTAACACAGTCCCGGACGCAAATTACTGGCTTGCAGCTCGAAGCGCCGTGGTCTCCATCCTTCCAACTCGGACTTCCTGTACAATACGCAATTTACGATCCATTTCTGAGCTCCCAGTCATCCAGTTCGAGAAAGGACAAAGACACAGGAATCAGGAGAGTCATACCGGGAACAGATGTACAAATTCAAGCCCTATTCGATTCAGGAATTCAAGCACAGATTTACGCCGTTGACCAAGACAAGCGCCGACATACATTGGGGATCCGACTTGCTCCTCGAGATCCTCTCGTGCACAAGATTCTCAAAATGTGTGACATGGTGCTTGGCCCGAACCAACAGGAAAGCCTTCTCGTTACGTTTTGGGAGGTTTCGAGGTGGCTGAAAGGCAGGAAACCACCAGTAAACTCTGAATGGACTGCCCTGGTGGTAGTGCTCTTCTCCCTGGCAGTGCCTTTCATTAGCAATCAACATTCTCAGTCTACACCCACGCGGCGTCGGACCAAAAATGCTCTTCTTCGCTCCAGCAGTGGAAGTGCCATCGACCTTACGAATTATGAACTCATGCATCACGCAGATAACGAAATGCCCCAGAAATTCGGAATGCAAGGGCCTGCTTGGGGGTGGATGTCGGAGAAGTCCCTTGAACCGACAATAGTCACGCCAAAATCAAAGCACTCCCGAGCAGCAAGCATGGCCTCTCTCCAAGAGGGTTCCTCCGATAAAAGAAACGCCTTTTTGATTGCATGTATAGCTCTAGCAAGAGAGTATACGCAAACTCCGCTAGGAGAAAGTGCTCTTGGACCGGAGGGATATTTGCCGACCTCGATCAACAAGGAACGAGAGCAACGTTGCAATGCTATACCCAGTATTTTACTCGGTTTGCATCTCCTTTATGAGGAAGACAAACTCAATACAATGTCTAACCCTGGTCGGAGGAGGTCAAGAAGCGGCTTGGTGATTGTTCTTGCTCAGCTGGGGCATTGGCTTGGATGGGAAGACTGGACGTCTCGTAGCAATGCCTACTATGAACATGAATCGGCGGAAGCCACCAATTGTTTATACGACGAATCGCTCCTTGACGGTCTGCGAATTCCAGGACAACCATTTCCGCCGCCGTCAATATACGAACACCTTGAGAGGTGGATAAACGGATTCGCACCCGCTCCGTTTTTGACGTTGGCTCGTGTTTCCGGTTTGCCAGAGCTGAGCGACCATGAACATCTACTATGGTGGCAGGCAGCGAACCTGACGCCACGAACGTTGGCTCTTCTGTCCTTCATGGATCAAGCAAAGGATCAGCTCAGTCCCCACAGAGCAATCGCGGCCCTGCTTCAATCAGGGGTTAGTGAGCGCATTCTGAGCACTCTTCCTGACGGAGTAGCTGCTGCTTTCTATCAAGCAATTGCATCGAACCGCTACAGGGCCGACAAAGTTGGCAACCTTGTAAATCAGCTTATCCTGGGACGAAATGCTGTAGTTCAACAAGCTGATGATTCGTCCCACCATTCATACAAATCACAATTGTTACCGTCGTCACACGAAGCTCTGAAGGACTATCACGCCATCTGCTCATCTGCAGTTGAGGCTGAAACGCTTCAAAGATGGGACGCGTCTTCCGAGGCAGACCGACATGTTATCAGCAAATTGATATTCAACGAGGACCGTCGCTTCACAGAAGCTTCCAGACTTGTCAATCAGACAAGGCCTCCAGTAGTTGAATGCACACCTGAGCCTGGCTGGAGCGATGTCGACTTGTTAGAAGCACAAAAAGAACTAGCCCAACATGTCACCCGCAGGACGTTATCTGTGGCTGCAGGACGAGGAATGATGCATTTCAATGCTCGTGTCCCCTTGCTCACTGAAAGGGTTCCCATACCTGCTTTCAGTCTGCAATGTATCATGAAACCTCGGGAGGCCAGTGAGGCCGCCCAGCCCATGACTTTCAGCGCCGACAAGGCCACATTCACGGAAGAAAAGGTGTGTTGGGCATTCTTCCACAACGGCGCTTCGATGGGTCTCATGATCTCGAACGATGCTAAAGGAATCGATACTTCATGGATACTGTACAATAAGCCTCCCGAGTTGACGAACCGCCACGCTGGATTTTTGCTTGCCCTGGGTCTGAATGGTCATCTCAAAACACTGGCCAAATGGGTTGCTTTCAAGTATCTCACTCCTAAGCACACTATGACATCTGTCGGACTCTTGCTAGGACTCTCAGCCTCTTTTCTCGGAACCATGGACACACTCATAACCCGCCTGCTCTCCGTTCACGTTACTCGTCTACTGCCGTCCGGTGCCGCCGAACTCAATCTGTCCTCATTGACACAAACCACTGGAATTATGGGAATTGGACTCTTGTATTATAATTCTCAACATCGTCGTATGTCCGACGTCATGCTATCCGAGATTGAAAACGATGATCCAGAAGAAGGTGTTGCATTTGACAACGTCATTCGCGACGAGGGCTACCGACTGGCCGCCGGGTTTTCTCTAGGTCTCATCAATCTCGGACAGGGCAAACGTCTTCATGGTCTTCATGATATGGGCGTTGTCGAACGCCTCCTCACTATCGCCGTAGGCACGAAGAATGTGAATATGGTTCACGTCCTCGACCGCGCGACTGCGGGGGCTGTGATGGCCGTAGCTTTCATTTTTATGAAAACCAACGACGCGGGGATTGCGAAGAAAGTCGACATTCCGGATACTTTGCATCAATTTGACTATGTACGACCAGATATTTTCCTTCTTCGAACCCTGGCTCGGCATCTGATCATGTGGGACTCTATTCAACCCACTTACGATTTCATCCAAAAGTCGCTTCCCGAGCCCTACAGATCGAGATTCGATTTGAAGACTACGAAATTTCTCAGCACCGAGGACATGCCATTCTTCAACATTGTCGCCGGGATCTGCTTCGCTATTGGGCTGAGGTTCGCAGGCTCTCAACGACACGACGTCCGTGATCTGCTCGTCTCTTACCTGGACCAGTTTCTCCGCCTGAGCCGTTTGCCTGCACATAACTACGATTCTCAAGTTACCCTGAACAGTGTGCGCAACTGCCTCGACACCCTTGCCCTAGCTTCAGCGTCCGTTGTGGCCGGTTCGGGTGATTTACTTGTCATGCGCCGTCTGCGCGCTCTTCATGGACGTACTGATAAAGATACACCATTCGGAAGCCACCTCGCGGCCCACATGGCTCTTGGCGCCTTGTTCCTAGCTGGCGGTACGCGGACCTTCGGAACATCAAATCTGGGAATTGCGAGCCTGTGTATAGCTTTCTACCCCATCTTTCCCAGCGACGTCCTCGACAACCGCGGCCATCTTCAAGCTTTGCGGCATCTATGGGTTCTTGCTGCCGAGGGGCGGTGTCTCGTCGCAAGGGACGGTGACGCAGGTGGCTCCGTCTCAGGAGGTATGACTGGCCGCGTTCATCTGAAAAACGGTGAGATGCAGACAATCCGCTTGCCTGGCCTGATACCAGAGTTCGACACCATCAAATCCATCGAGGTCAAGGGTGAGGGCTTCTGGGATGGGCATCTCGATTTCGAAGCTGGAGGACAATCGCTCAGAGAAAGGATCAAGAGCGAAAATGCGGTGAATGTTATCCTTCGGCGCCGCACCACCTACGATGAGCCCCCAAGGAATCTTTTCACGGCGGAATTGCAGGCCAAAGCTTGGGCGATGGGAATCCCTAGCATTGACCCGAATGCTGTCCCTTCGTACACTAGCGCTATTACCACCAGCTCTACAGCCGCAGCTAGTGTCACCACGACCTTTGCGAGAATGGCAGCTCCGAATCCATTCGAATGGCTTTTCGAACTCGAGCCTCTCAAGGACTTTGACCACGCCGAACGAGCGCTTGTACTAGGTCCGATACCTATAGATGGGAAGGAGCTGAGCAGAACCACAGTCGTGGATTCACGGCTCGAGTTTGAGAAGGGCGTTCTGCCTTCAGAAAATCCGGTAGGCCAAAGTGTCGGGGTAGGGAAGGCACAGATGGAGAAAGACAAACTGTGGCAGTTGAGGTTGTTGTTTGCCTGGTTTGATCGATGGGAGAGGGAGGATGAGGAGTTTGAGCGAAGAAAACGAATGATCGAACAACACGAAGGTCCCAGTAGGGACACCAATGGGGACGAAAATTCAGATAAATGGTTCGCGGATAGTGGAGGAACTTGGCTGAGAAGAGTGGTGATTGAGAAGTTGAGATGGAAGGTATGGAATCTGACTACAGGCGCTGCCGATGAGAATGACGACACCAGGGACGATCACGGTAACGAGATATTGTGAGGATGACGGAACCTCCGCAGGCGTGCCATGTCACGTCGATGATGTTGAATGAACAGCGAGGTGGACTCCTATTGCAAGGAGGTATTCATCGTATTCACACGTGTTCTGTCCCTCTTTCTACGACTCGGGACAAAAAGAAAGGCGAAGGACATCCTACATACAGTACAGAAGGTGGCGAGGAGGCTCGCAACATTGCGAGTCACGGTAGAACAAGGTCAGTAGAAATTGCACATCATTATTCAATTGCGATCCCCTCATTCCCCCAGTGCGTCTTTCTCCTGTCTTTTCGGTCTATCGGATGGCGTCCCTTTCAGCGAACGAACGAGCGAGTGTCCAACATATTATCTATATGTGTATATATATATAGGTGAGAGGTAGACAACATTAATCGATATTGGTTGAACTTCTACCCGTCATAAGCTTTCTCCGCGCACACACCCCTCTCCCTCCCCTTGATCCAGACCGGGACCCAGCGACGTAGAACGATGCACGTGGTCTTCGCTCGCCCTACAGGGAGAAAAGGCATTTCACCACCTATGGTATGATTATGGTTCCGTTGGAAGCGATGGAAAGTGAATTCTAGGCCAGCGAGCATGCCAGCCAGGCAGGTCGGCAGCAGCTCACTGACTCACCACTGACTGTGGAATAGAAGATCGCTGAAAGTTGTATCCAAGACACCGCGAACCAGGTAAGAGGATTGCACGTACTGAACAGGGTTGCGCTGTCTGTCGCAGTGGCTAGCTGCTCAAGGACATGCATTCTCTGCACCGCCTACAGAGCAGTTTGCAGGCTGTTGCATATAGAGCGTTAGCCCAGCGAGCAATTTGCGTTCCTCATGTTTAGCCACCATGTGAGGCAATCACATATCTCTGTCCAAGTCGCAGGCTGCTCGGGTCGTCAGCCATCCCTCGATGATTCATCGGGCACTGTTTGCCGCCCGTGAAGGGAAGCTTCGGCGGAAAACGAAACGCATACCTATATCCTTGCTGTCAACGACGGGAGGTCCTTTGTCCAATCGATAGGTCGTGGCGAATGGAAACATCACACCACATGGTGGGAGGTTCCTTCCAGAAATGAATTGCTCCTAATCACCTGGTCCCAATGTGACCGTATCCAGTGGATTGAAATTTGACACGCGACGACGCGCAATTGCCTCTCCGGGGTATCAACCCGCTAGACTCTAAAACGAGTAAACCATTGTTCCTTGTGCAATTCCCCGAGCCGGACCCCAGGCGGGAAGCTTTGTAGGCAACGAGGATGAGCGGAAGGAGATGTAGGAAGAGTGGAGCTGGGGCCAATCCCGCCTTCTGAGCGGCGACAGGAAGAAAGGCGTACTCGTACAGGTCGAAATGGCTCATCTATTCCAACAAAACATGCACAGAGTAACGGTGACGTCGAGCAATTTTCGAAAACACACAGGTTGTTCCTCGAGCGCCAGGAACACCGTGCCCAAGGCTGACTGCCATCATTCTTGGCCGCGAATTGAGAATCTGGCAGAAATATTGGACGGAGGATTTCAGACCCTTGCACAGTAGAAGGTCTCCGGCTCCGTTCCCTGCATGTCTCGATCTCAATGTCCGGTGGCGTTGTTGTTCAAATTAGGGAAGCTCAATACCACCTTACCGTGTCTCAGCCGAGCGGGAGAGACCGATCCAACACCCGCAGATATGTAATCAAGAAGGATCGGAAGTCAAGCTTGGTGCGGCTCTAACCGCACAGGTCCCGGATTGCCGAACTCTCAAGGAATGTAAGATCGACGATCGACTTATAATTAGGCAGAGGACCCTGAGTCTAACCTGCTCGCCTGTACTGGGTATGTTTGTGCCGAGGCACCTCTGGTAGTTCAGCAGCCTCCTGTGGTGATGATGTAAGGTGAGCCACCAAGACGAGTTTTTCGAGGAGGGCATGGCGTGATTTTCCGAAAATCGCAGTGGTTCACTTCGTCGACCCTGTACCGAGAACACCTCAGCGCTTGTTGGTCATCGCCCACTCTTGCAATAGATCTCGACCTGTTATCAATCGAGCTGCAGTGTTAGGGAAAAATTCCAGATTGAGTTTGCGCGGCACGATGAGTAAGTACTGGGCAGGTTGAATCCTTTTGATAACTTCGACCAGTCAAAGATTGGTCTAGGTTTGTCCCCGTACCTACAAAAGCCACCGCTGAGGGTTGATCTATTGGACGTCGACAGCGGCGCCATCTTGGGCCAGAACTAGCAGTTGACGAGAAACATTGAAACGTGCTCGCTGCATTGTTTCTTCTATCGCGAGGCAAGTACGGCCTTACTCGCTTATTTCCTGTTGCGGAAGACCATCGTCTGATATCGGATATAACGTGCTGTCATCAGATTTTCTCCGATTGCTCGTGAAGTCTGGGAGCTGAATGGGCACTGGCATATGACTCTTGACTGGGCAAAGGGCAGATTCGTGCTTGGAGGGCATTGTGGGCCGCAAGCCGCAAGCCGCTCCCCTTTACTCTTCGTTCTTGTCGATGGGATCGAGCTTGGTTGAAAACATTAATTTCCCAGTCAGGCGTCCGATGGGCATAACCTCGGGCGAAGTCCGAGTTACTCACAATGTTGAAAAACACGCCCAGTTATTTGTCAGACAAGCGACCTCGTTCGAGAATGGAAAGAGCCCAGCCAAATTGTAGCTTTTTGGTGACAAAGCCCTGATAGATTTCACAAAGCGGCACTTGCGGGCGGCCGCAGTTTTGTGCTGGAGGAACTCCAGAAGACGTTGGAAATTAACTGCCAATCAGGAGTGAGAAAGTTCATACTTGAAACGGGCGTTTTGATGCCAAAAGAGGAATACCCAGCAGATTCTGATTACGGCCAATGGCTTGTGGGCGGTCAAAAAGCATCAGCGTAATCGGTGTCGGCGTTGAAGATCCCGTGATCATGGAGCTGGCCATACATTGGCGCAGAAGGGACCTGCGAAGCCCCTACTCAAGTTGGCAAAAGGCTCTGATAGGGACTGTTTATGCGGAGAGAGCCCACCACAGGCGCGTATTTTCTGGTGTGCTGCCTGATGAGTCACAAGATGGCGTGCAGATCTCAGATGCAGATGTCTGATTTCTGGCACTCGTTAAAGGAGCGGGGGAAAACGTCTCAAGTCTCAAACGTCTCTGGGCCTTAAACCTTTCCTTGAAGAGGAAGTCACGAATTCCCGAGCAAGGAATCTGCCAAGAAACCTGGGTTTGGTCTTGAAGCCCTGGACCTGGATCAGTGGGGGGTCTAATAGGTGACACGGGCAAGATATAGCTTCGCGGGTGGAGAATGCTGGTTTGTCCTGTGTGGTCGAGGCGGGAGTACGTCCAGAGAACAAGTCCGCACCCGAGGAGATTTTGCGAACCGCTGTGCCACAAACACGAAGGTGTTGACAAAGCTGGCGGCCAGAGAGGGACTAGAATACCCTCCTGGTGCCCCCCAAAACCATGACAGAGACTTGGTGAGCATTCTGAGTCAGCGGCAGGCTTGCTCCATCGCTCGGCCAAGCCAATCAAGCACCCAGCCATTCAAGCTCGAAAAGGGCAAAGCGTTTCTCGGCTGGAAGTTGTTATAACCAGGCTAGGAACTTTGTTTTGTTTCAGGCAGCGCCATGGGGGCCTTGGGGGGAAGGCCTGCCGTTGATTGTGATGAGGAATCGAAAAGCAGCGGATTGATAGAAGATCGTTAAGCGCTAGACAAGACGATAATACTGTAGGGGCGGCAGTCGAGAAAGCAACCGTGACAGGAGATCACACGGATTGATAGCAAAAAGGCTAGCAGAAGATCTAATGCGAGGACCCTTTCGATGATGGACGATTTTGGATGTTTGATTACTTTTGCGCTCGTTTCGGCGACCAAGAACGACACTGTGGTGAGGAGCGAGGAACGAGAGTGAGAGCGAAAGCGAGAAGAGAGGAGTGAGCGAAGTGGAATCGAATGAGAATCATACGATGTTGACATTTGAAGTTGAAATGTCGATGCGAAATGTGACAATACCGGATAAACTCTCGGTAACAGTACAGTAATACATACCTCCCCATCCACGGCATTTCACTGGCTACTGGCCTTTATCCAGAACAGGATTTATGCAGCGAATTATGCCTGAGCAAACTAACCCTACTTGGGACATACTACCTTGTAGTGCTCGGCCCAAGTTGCTGGCCTAAGGACCTCGGAGTCTTTCTCAGCAACCTGCTCAGCGGAACCTTTCCCCTCCCCCCCGCCGAGATTAACGAAGAAGGAAGGATTTCTTGAAATGAATTACTATCACGATTGTACGGGGCTGGCGCTCCCTCGGAGGTGCTGGGCATAGGGGTCTTGTGCTGGGCATGTCACCCTCGCCGGGAGCAATTGAGTCTTGGGGATTCTCCCGTCGCTCTTGGGACGCCAATACCAGTGAAACCATCGTACTCCGTACTCTTGTCCCAATTCTCCAAGAGCACCGCCGCGGACCACGAGGCTTTCCGCGGGGAAAGCATTGGCAGGTTGACAGGACGACCCTGGCGACCCTGTTTTGCAGCTAGGGATCCATCCTCTGGAAGCCCAAGCGAATACGTGGTCCTAGGTAGAGCTTGAAATATACTTGTCGAAGGGGGCTGTGACCACTTCGTGCCTCAAGGCGTCTTGAACGCCCACGCTCGACCAATCGCATCTTTCCACATGCCCTCGACAAGAACTTGCCATGGCCAGTTGCTTTGGCTGATGCCTAAGACTGTGGCCTGCCCTGAGTGATGATCTCGCCACCTGCAGCGACTGCACTGCTGATGGTCCCCGATCGATCTTCTAGAAACCACAGCCCAGGGCAGTTTGGAGCCAGTGTGCTTCCATCCAGCTGCATCTTACACCATGTTTGCATGTCCAATAATATGGGTCAAAACGTCGGGTCTCGTGCGTTTTTCTCACTCTGTGTCTCCCTCTCTTCTCGTCCATTTCGTTCGATTGATCGCGCCTGGAGAAAACACAGACTCTGGCGCTTTCCGTCCAATCGTCGCCAGCCACTTGGAATTGATTTTG